TGAAAAGGATAACACTTTCATATATCAGAAATGTCTCAGAAACTACTAACACACTATTACAACCACATGGCATGTAGCACACAAACCAACTAAAGCCCTCCAAAACATCTTAAGTAAACCAAAAGACCCAGTAGCCCAAGAAGAAAAAACAGGAGTCATCTACAACATACAGTGTAAGAACTGCAACAACCACTATGTAGGACGGACAGGCAGAAGACTAGCAGAGCGCCTCCATGAACATTACCAACAGTCAGAAGACATGATGAAAACTTCTTAATCTCACAACACAGGGATAGACTTAACCATAGTTTCAACTGGGATACTGTCAGCGTCTTAGACCAAGCTAAATCCAAAAATGCAAGGAAATTCCTGGAAGCTTGGTATTCAGACAAGTCAGCTATCAACAGCCTCATAAAGATAAACAGTATCTACACACTATTCAAAAGAGACAATAAGAAGGAAACAAAAAGACCAGAACACCTCGCCAGCAGTCAACACCCAAAGAAGCGGAGATAAACACCAGGATTAACACCAGACAAACAATCAAACAGTAAAGAATACCCTAATCAACTCAGACAGACAATCAAGCAGTAAACAACAGCCTAATCAAGGAACCACCAAGGAAAAAACAACTCCCTCACCAACACTGACAGGGCAAGCTACTGTATATGAACAGAGAGCAAACCCCTCTCCCTTCGAGCACTGAAGATGTTACCTAGCCAGGTAACAAAATGTCTGCAAGAAAACAACCAAACTCCGAGAACCCCAAGGACTCCACAGTTCAACCCTGAGCTACATATATTCTCTTCTATTAGCAAACAATACCCTAATCAAAGAACTACCAACTCAAATAAACAATCAAGCAGTAAACAACAGCCAACTGAGATGAGTGGCCATGTACATTTATTAAATAAATAAATAAGCAGCATGACCAAAATTGTGGAATATGCTTTATGTTCTTCAGGAAATCTAATCCTGTTACTTTACCCTCCTTAACAATAATAATCATAGAACAAACTTTTAGATTCAGCTAATCAGTGCTTAATTAGTTCATGAGGTAGATATATTCTTTATGCATTAATGATTCAAATAGGATATAAAATCATTATTCCATAAATTACGTTGAAAACATATGAGGAAGATTCTGTTACACTGGACTTTCTAGGGGCACACTTAGCATCATCAGTTGCTACTAGTGATCTAATCAGAGATCTTCCAAAACATGCTTCTGAAAAGGTGAAAGTACACCAGAGAAAGTTTGTATGCAAATAACAGTAGCTACACTGCATTTTAAAAGGATGCACCAGGAAAATTTATATATAAAAGAATGAAAAATTGGGATTGGGATAAATAAACTGGGTTTCTGGGGTAGTTTATGATAACTCATATAAAGTAGAGGAAAATATATACAAAAGCTCCATACACTACAACACATTATGAACATAACACTTATCAAATTTTCTGTAATTTTGAAATAAATCTGAGAAAAATAACTATTGAAATATTCCCTACTAATACACATAGGACTTTTATCAATTTGCATGCTCCAGTAGAAGCTACATTGTTATGGTTTCTCTCCAGGTGTTCTGCTAGTGATAGTCATGATGGGCTTTGATAGGGCTAAGTTAGCACTAAGACAATGGGTTATAGCAGTGTTGTCCAAACTTGGCCACTTTAAGATGAGTGGACTTCAACTCCCAGAATTCCCCAGCCAGACAACACTGGGTTATAGAAATGGAAAAGCAATAAGACCACTTCTACCATCCAAGCAATAGTTTTAGGAAGACAACTTTGAAGTAGTAGGCCTGCTAGATCCTTAAATCAATTGATGGGTGCTAACATTTAGAAAAGCTTTTTTATTACCATGTTTCAGTGTCTTACTCATGGCTGTACTGGAAGTGAAATTTAGGAAAATGCTGTATATAGTACAGTTTTGCTTGTGCAAAGTGGAAGCCACTGAGCATCTACATCTCATTTATATTATGGTTTTGATAAGAATATCTGAAGATTTTGTAGTTTTCCTCCCAGAGAATTGTGATGTGTTAAAATGTACTGCTTTCAAACCCAGTATGTTGTGCATTTAGAATATGAAATAATGTACCCAGTGAGAGCTGGTGCTGTATCTTCTGGGCTTTTCACAAAATACAAAGGAGCAGTCAGAGGAAAAACAATGATACGTCTGATTCTTTTTTACTGATGTGGCTGAATGATCAAGGACCAGCTCTGGAAAGTGTGCAGTGTCAGTTCAAATTCTGACAGCAGTCTCTCTCTTGCCCTGGCATAATTTAATATTTTCTGCCAGACATGCTACTGGTGGATTGAGATTATTAATCTATCCATCCTTATGAGTTAATGGAGTGCCTCTATGTATGAATGATACCACAAGTGTCATTGCCACACAAATCCTGGATTTGTTTCCAGGGTCAGTGTAGTGTCTGTCATTTTACAACACTTTTTTACATTCTGTGGCTGGGTGATTTGCGCTGTGGGGGGAAAAAAGTAAAAAGTAGCCCCTGAGTTATGGCATGCCAAAATGTCCCTTCGCGCTGTGGCTCAGGGGCTGCTTTTTACTTTTTTTCCCCTGCAGCGCAAAGCCCAGCCCCAGCCCAGGAGTGCAGCACAAAGGGCTTTTTGGTGTGCTGTGGCTCAGGGGCTGCCTTTTTTTTTTTCTTTTTGCAGCGTGCAGTCCAGCCCCAGCCTGGCCTAGCAGCCAGGCTGGGCATGCCTCGTCAGCAGCAGGAGCAAGAAGACAGCGAAGGTCAGCTGGGGCGGTGGAGCGCAGGGTGGCAGGGGTCTTGGAGTGCAGGGTAGTGAGAGTGACTGCAGCTGGGACTGGACTGGGGCAGCTGCAGCTTCCCAGGGTGTGGCAAGCAGCCCCAGAGCCATGCGGTTCTGGAGATGCTTGCTGCACTGCAAGGCAGGGTGCATGGCGGCCAAAAGGGCAGATGTGGGGGAGTTGGAGGCAGTCCCTTACCTTACTAAGGCTCAGGGCTGGGAGGGACCAAGCCCGGAATGGCTTGGCTTGGTGTGGGTACTCTCTTAACAACCCGTGATTCTCAGTTAACGACAGCAACTAGGACCACCAGGATTGCGGTCGCTAAGTGATGCTGTCATGTCTCACTTTATGACCACATCACTTAATGATGGAAATTCCAGTTGTGGCTGTAAGTCGAGGACTACCTGTACATACACACACAGCATATGTACACATAATTCTATAGGATTGATTGTTCTGCCATAAATCTGCTATCATCCTGGCATTCTGAAGCATTCTGCTCTTGAACTATATTCCATTCAAGACTCTTAGTTTGGAGTGATTGTGGCATAGCCCATCTGTATCTATTATACTAGAGCTTATGGCACCTAATTATCTAGCTTTTTAAGTGAAAACTTTGTAAAATAATTGTAGGAAAGAACTCATTAACTATCAACATGAAGAAAGGGAAAAAGCACAAAATATTGAACCAAAAATGCATAAGGCTACTGAAATCAATAGGCATATGCGTACAACTGATTTAGAGCATAATCATAGCATATACAGTATATTCAAAAAGCAGTGGCACTGAAGTCCAGAGCATAAATATATAGGATTGCCTTATCTACTATCTTATATTTCCCAGTAAAAGTACCAATCAGGGTGTGTTGTATGTGTGTGTGTGTTGGATAGTTTGCAGTTTTCCAGAGAAGATTCAAACAGATCACAAACAAAACCATGCATTGTAAACTTCCCTTAGTTTGAAATAGAACACTCAAAATACAGGTTTTAATAAAATTATGTTTATAATAACTATGTCATCTAGTTATCTAACACTCAATAATTTATTACAGCTTAAGGTGTTATTTTATTACAAGCATTAGAGTGCAGCATGATTTCTAAGCAAAACAATAAAAACACTAAACAGAACATTTTAAAAAGATAAAATGGAAATAATATACACTGAAATAAACATATTTGCTTGCAATTCTGTAATTTCACATATGTGTACAGTTTAAAACCAAGTCAGCATTCTGTTGAATAACTGTTGCAAATATATAGTTCTAAGTATATGAAATGTTTCTTAAACTATTTGTTACTGTTTAACTATTATGTTTTGTAGAAATAGTTTTTTTTTCAAGCAAATACAAGATAAATACATTGGACAATAATGGACCTAGAAGATTAATCTGGAAATGGTTTAACATTATTGAAACTTTAAAATTGTGCCAGAAGAAAATAAACAGGTCCATTGGAACCCTATTTGCCAAGGTCTTTACTGAGTCAAAAGTGTTTATCATGTGAAAATGTATGTGTCATTGAAATGTATTTGGGTGGTTGAAGCAGATCTGGCTCTTACCTTGCAGCAAAGTGAAGAAATCTGCTTCAGGGGAGATACATCAAGGCAAAAACTGAAGTCTAAACGATGCAGCAAACCCTTTTAAAGTGTGGAAGCATTATTCAATACTGTGCATCAGGTGGCAAAATGTATTGGCCAGCACTGACTTAGGGAGTAACAGGATGCAAAAGCAATGGCACCACAGTCCATTTTTCATGCTGTTTATTTTGTCAGTCTGTTCTGTCTATTTGGAAATATACTTGAACCATTCAGTTGTTCAAGGTACAGCATGACCGTTACTGCACTGATGGCAACAACTTGACTTATGGTTTAATGTAATGAACTGTTTGAGGACATACATCCCACAAATATTTGTGTTGCTATATTGCCAGTAGCAAGTATCTCTAGATGTGACTCATGGAACATTATAGAGATATAACTAGTACGACTAGGAACAATTTAACCACGTGACACCAGGCCACTACATTTGCTGCTTTGAAAAATTCTATGTTATTCCTTGATAGAAACTTTGTGGAGGTTGTAACAAACAGGCTTGCCAACATTAAAATGCAACTATCACTTTTGTCAGCATAGATGACTTTGGGTAATTTTATTATACTGATCTATATTAACAGACTACTGATTAGTCTTTTTTTTTAGCCACTGGAAAATCATTGTAGTGTTCTGCTACCTACAGCCACATGACTCTACCACCATGTCTTCATATTGTTTATAAACTACATTATTAGCAGAATCAATAAACAAAATGCTAATAGGACTCAGCCTTGTTGGAACACAACAAGTAGGAGGTGTTGATTCTGGATCCATAGAGTTCATTAACGTTTGGATAACAGCATGATTGGTGGGTTCTAGATGAGACCGAAGAGGAAATTCACAAAGTCCTTCACAATGATACGCTTCATATTCAAGAGGAGCTATTATCCAGTCATCCCAACCCATATCCTTAAAATTCACATGGAGTAGTTTTTTGCTACACCTTGCCTTCAAATTCTTGTTTGGCCTCTTTCCTTGTCGAGTTGCTAGAGGAGCCCTTCTCTTTCTTCTTTGACTGAATAGGTATTCATAAACAGTTTTGTCATCTTGGCCAGATCTGGCTTTTATTTCGTTGAAGAACAAGTCTCTTTTCTTTGTTCTACCAAATACTAAAAAAATAGCTTTTTCATTGACTTGCCTCCCTGTTCTATTAAATCCCACAATCCTTAAATCAATAGGCCTCCCCCTTTCAAAAGCCTCCAGTTCAAAACACAAGTTAGCAAAGTTTTTAAAGTTCCTAAACAATTTCCAAATGTCAAAAACTTCCCATTTTGCTGTATCTAAGATGTTGATTGTTCGAGACTCCAAGAGAATGGATGCTTGCCTGCTTGTAGAGCAACTGAATAGCTTCACTTGACAAGTTTTCTCAGGAGAATGAGGCTTCCAGATATCAGGTTTTTTCCTTAAAATCCGCAATTCTGCCCCTAGTAAACCATCTTTCTCTAACGCACTGATATCAAAAATGTATTTTTGCTTTTTAACTGAAGCTTGATCATCTAAAGAGAAAAAACAGAGAGAGATTCAAGTATTTCTGAACAGAAATGTGTACTGCTTTTCAATTTCTCCTAGCACATGTGCATAATGAGTTTGGGATTAATGGAACTTTATGGAACTGTGAAAAGTTCATATCACATGGAGATGTATTAGAATAACACTTTAACATTTCAGAGAAGAAAATACTTTTAGACACTACATGTAATCTAATTAGTAGAACTTAAATTCCAATAAAATATATTTGAATCCGAACTTCAGATTAAAACTTTGTGCCTATTATATTCTTTTTCTTGTAGTAATATGTGATGGAAAGAATGTAAACATACGGTGGCCATGTGCTGGACATATTTTAAGACAGAAAAGCACAGGGCATATGCTTGTGGATGATATATCTTAATAATTGTTTGCCTTCAAAGACACTTGCCAGGAAGACCAGAACTTTTTAAGCTTAATGAATAATGATATATATTGGAGTCCAACATTCAACCTGAAACTTCATTCAGACAAAGCTGTTTCTCCTCAAAATGGATTTACAGTGATATATATGCCTCTAAAAATTTCTGCATTATATTGAAAAAAATGATCAGTGAGTTACAGTCCCGAGTTGTACACACTACTCATTTCAAGGTTAGGATTAGGGTTGCTTGTGGAAAAAAAAAAAATCAGTCACCAACATGGGGTTTAACCCAAATTCACAGATTGCTGTGGGGCCTATGAGGATCTAAAGAAAAATGTGGATAACCTCCATTGATCTTGCAGTCTTTTTATTACAGAAATATTAAATCTCTTGCTTATTTTATAATATCAAATCTGAATTAAAATTATATCTGAATTAGTTTCATTCTAACAACAAACACAAAATACTACAGACAGTTCCTCTTCCCTAGTCTATTTTTTTTTCTGAAATAGAAATAGACAACAGGAACAGATTAATCAGCTCTTATCCTGTCAGATATTCAGTATTGTGTTATAAGTAGATGGCAACATTTTATGCAGAAAAGAAAAACATGTCACGATACTTTTGGAAAATTAGTATTTACCTTAATACAAATATCAAAATCTGAGTCTAGAAATGCTCTTGAAGTATCTGTTAGGATGTAAACACCTGTGATTAGCAAAGTTTTGTGTCTTTCTGTAAATAGATGGATACTTTTTCTTACCTTGTCCCTTGTCTATGAAGCTTATAATAGTATTGGCAAGTCCCATCTCCAATTTCATACTTCCATTGATACCTTTCCGTTCTGCATCAGAAAGAGCTCGGTATAAGGCAAGCATATATTCATGTGGGGTGACAGCAGGATGTCTGAACGCCTCTTTAGATTCCCTTTGGGTAATAGGTTCTTTCATTGTTTTGGGTTTGTAGGAACTATCTGAATTCCCAGTGCCAGATTTTTTCAATGGGGCCTTAGGGCCAAAATTCTGAACCTTTGGAGTCACCGTCCTTATTCCTGGCTGTCTATCTGAAGTACGTCCTACATGTTTGTCTGTACTCCCTGCTTTAGACAGAGTCTTCTTTGAATCATCAGTCTTTGCCAAGAGCGCTCCAGCTTGAGCAATATTACTTCTTGTCTTAGACTTGGAATTGCCAGCATTATATTCAAGGCTCCCCGTTCTAAAAGTACCTGTCCTTGGCAATGGATGCCTCTCTTTTCCATCTACTTTAGACAATCCTAATTTGATCCCTGGGTTACCTTGACTTGCTGCAGCAGGATTCAGTATTAAGGAAAGGAAAACCAGATAAAACCAACTAAAGTGCCAAAGCAGTATAGAAAGAAAGTACAGGATTTTCATCCTCTGGTCTTCCTTTGAATGCCACCAAAGAAAAAAATTAAAAAGGTTCCTCGAGTTTGGCATAAAAAACCATGAAATAGATTAAAAGGCAAAGTAAGCAAAAAGAGCTTTATTTTCAATGTAAAGCACTTTAAATCAATTTGTGTAATATTTGTATCCAGTCCCATAGTGGAAATGCTAATTTATTCAATTCGCTGTCTCCTGATTTCTGCCAGCAGCTTGTTCCTGAAAAGAGAAAGTTTACCACCCCCCTTTCTTCCTTAAAAATGAGTAAAAACTTGAAGGACTCTTGTTTAAATCTGAGAGCATTTTTTTTCCAAGAAGGAAGAATGGCGTAATGCTGCCTCTGTGTTAAAAGGTTTTTCAAAAAGTTTTGAATCCCTTCCAGTGAAAATATTTCACACACAGAAACCTGCAGGTGCTTAGAAATCTTTTACAAACCTGAACTCAGGAATTGGAAGCGGAATTCCAACAAAAACCTATTTAATTACTCTCTGATGTCATGCTGTCTAAACTAATTTAAGTGTGATATATTTCTTTTAAAAAGTCTTCTTTGCCCTTTCCATTAGAATGAGTCATACTCTGCTTTATGTAAAACAACTCAGTAGGACCCAAAGTCTATAGAATATGCAACTAAAAGTGGCAACATGTTCCGTATTTTAGCCTTAAATGAACTCTTCATTTAGAACCAAACAACATCACCTAAGATAAACACAAGAACCTTTAACAAAAGCAGGTGGAAATATATTTATAGTATGCTTTAATTACATATGCATTGTATATAGTTCTAAACATAGAATCTCTGGTTTATTAGCAGCAGTCTGTAAGTTGAGTGAAAGAATGAAAAACAAAAGATTTTTAAAACATTGTGAATCACTGACAAAGAAAATAAATTATGAACAATCACATTTGATGCCTGAGAAAAAAATATTTTCTTATATTGCATTTTAGGCTTCATTATTTAACTCTTTCCCTTTATAAGGTCCCAGAATATCCAATGTTAAAGCAGCAGTGTCCCCTGCAGGAATTTGGAGCCCTATGAAGTGAAAGCACCAAAGAACCTCAGTCATCACATTCTAAAACTAAATTCTGATCAGTTTTTTAGGATAAAGATTTTTTAATAAAATCCTTTACCCGTCCACTCCTCTATAATTCTGATAATGAGTCATCTTAGATAATGAGTCATCTTAGACTTCTTTTAGACTGTAGAAATATGCAAGTTTCACATAAATCATTAACTATCTTTTGCATGAAAAAGAACATCTTGGATGCTTAATCAAACATGTGGTAAGAAGACTGGACCGGTTGAGGGATTCTGTTACATGACTTGCATGTTGCAAAGATGATGTACAGAGCTTCTTTTACCTTTGCAAACTACCCTAACTGCTGAATCATACCCCAAAATTAGATGAGAGAAACAAATTCTAAAGCTATGTCCAGCAGGTTCTAATTGAGTGAAATATATGAGCTTTTTCAAAACTATCAGTAGACACATCAACCCACGACTAAGATGTGAAAACCTATGTGGAACAAATATGTGTTTGTTGGTATATCCTTAAATTAATGCATGTACATGCAATATACACCTTATTATAGATGCCACAGATCATGGTGGGGAAACTTTTTCTTATGAAATGCCATTGAAAAACAGGAAAGACAACAACCAGAAGGTGAAATAGACATGGGGAGATCCATATATAGAAATGAGTGAATTTGCAGCATATGTATCGTCCTATACATTGATTAAATGCACTTTTTGTTTTAACACTGATTTAATTTCATCTGGATTGATATAATTCCTAACAAGGTGCCTATAATCTGGTTTGAACCAAGTGATAATAGCAATTGTAGTGTAACAGACCTTGGGAAAAGGCTGATATAATTCTCTTTTCAAGAGCCAAGTATGCTGATGCAAAAGATATATGAGCAGATTTCTCACTGTCCTTTCCCTTATTACATGAAGATTGGGGGGGTAATGGGAGTTGATTGGAAAATTAGACTGTAGAGGGGGGTTAACCATCTTCCTGTACTATATTCCTCCTTCCCCAAAGCTATTATGATCATTAATACCGTCACTACTGTTAGCGCCAAGCATCTCTGTTCCTGGATATATATGGCTTCCTCGCTGGCTGTGATGGTCAAGGAGAAGAGCGATTCCTTGGAACCTGGAGGGAGAGGAAAGACGCAAGACATACCAATTATTAATCCAAAGCAGAGTATTTCTCCAGTTTCCTTCAGAAAATTGTCTTATTCCTAGAAAGACATTATCATTGACTCCTCAACTATTTTCTGAAAAATAAATGCAGATGGGGAGGTTATTTCTGCAACTAATTGCTCATGAGTCTGACCAGAAATGTTTAAATGTTATATGTTAAGTATTAATTTTCATACTAGCAATACTTTAATAGCATAAGCAAGCAGCATGATCACCATTGTACAAACAGAAATCTCAGCCCTCAAACCACTAAATGGGCTATACAGTTTTTGTGCTGATTCAGCAGTTTAAAAATTGAGCAATATTTCCAAAATTAAATCATTGCATGTTTCAGCAGTTTAGAAAAGGAAAAAGAAAATCTTGAAGCAGGGCCCAAAGTATTATCCCAATTTTAGGCAATGCATTTCCCAGGAGAGAAGTCTATGTGCCAAATATTGCAAATTAAGAAAAAACAAAAACATTGTGGGACCATCTTCAAAGAAGAAGTACTAAGCATGTTTATCTTATTTTCATAAGAAATGTATTTAGGTTTTTTTTTTCAATCTAGGAATAAGGACTTTTTCAACTTCAAGGGTAATCTCCCATTCCCAAAACAAGGAACATAATGGCAAAGAGTAGAGAGCAAATGCTTCTTTTTTACAATCCTGTTCCCAGGAGAAATCAATCAGGCAACTAAGTGACAAATTTTGCTAAAAAATAGCAAGAAAGAGGTTACAGTACTTGCCAAACAAGAAACATTCCAAGTGGAAAACTGGAGATGGAAGAGATGAGAAGTTAGAAGAAAATGCCAGTGCAGAGCCAGTTGTCTATCCTAGTACTAAGATTAGTGTTTAGTTAGCGTTGCTTCATTGTACATGCCATATTTCTATATTAATGAATTATTACGCTCTATTAGGAATGCCAGATACAAATCCGTGCTTTGTCACGAAGTTCACTGGGTGACTCTGAGTTAGTAATTCATTGCCAACCTAACCTACCTCACAGTTTTGTTGTGAGCCTAAAATAGTGGGGTCATGTATAGCTCCTTAAAGAAAGCATGGGATACATCTATTATTTAAAAATGCTACAAAAAATCTGGATTAGTCATGCATGTAGAATTGCTATTCACTTATCAGTGTACTCCTTATACAGAAATGTTTTTTGTACAGGAATTTTATTAATAAAATAAAGGTCCAGAAGATTTATCTTAGAGTGTCTTAAAATAGTAATATACTGCCAGAAAAGAACTATTTTAAACATCATATTTTAAGATAAATTATTTTTTAAATAATTTGCCAATCTTTGTACAATCTTTCCAATGGAAGGCAGTCTTGAAGTATGAGCTATTTCACTTTAATTGCAACTGAAAAATTACAATTTTTAGGCATTGTTACATTTTTCACCAGCATTATTTACGGAGCTGCTTGCTCAAACAGTCATCCCCCATTTAGCAGTGAAACATTCAGCTGGGAGTAGGGAATCAAAAGCTCTTTTTGGACAGTTTCATCCATACTGATTTTTCTTGTTTTCCATTTCTGCTAATTTAAATATGTATCATCGTATCTATGTATATGGATTATGTACGACAGGTACATAGAACTGGTATGTCTAAAAAATACAATTTGGAATGGGAAGCTGCTTAAACTAAAATGTCACCATCATTCCATCCAATCAAATGGGATAGACTGACTTGTGTGACAAAAAAGTTGCAGAAGGCAAAAAGAATGTTAACATGCTTATTTTTACAATTCAATTTCTTCTGGAACAGTACTGCAATTTCATCTTCCAGAAATAATATTACCTAGTGGTTCCCTACATGGGCTCTAGGGATCCTTTCCAATAGTGGGTTTTCTCATAAGCATTTCACCACTGTTATTATAGATATCACCAATCATTTCTGCCGAAGCTGGGAAACCAGCAGTTTGTTAGTTTAGGTCAACTGGTTCTAGCAATTCTCAGTTTTGCACTTGATGACAGAATAGATTATGATTGCAAAATGAATTCTTACTTTGTTATCACTAGTAGGTGCCTTCTAAGTTGCTCTTCCACATACCTGTAGATGAGCAATTTGAAACCATGTTATTTCTCCTTGCCACATCTTTCCAGACCATATTTCTCATCCTTGGATTGGGTCTAGATCTCCAACTTTTTATTAACTATTTCCAGCAGCGAGTTTTTTTTCCAGAACAGGAAGGCCTGTTCTGCCCCTTCCATTGTTTGAGAATAGATTTTTTACTACCTGCGTTTAGTGATAATACTACAACTTTCTGCTTCATTACCAACACAGACAGAAGCTCTCCATGTCCATGATGACAATTATTCCTATGCCATATAAAAGAGAAAACTGAAATTGATTGCCTAGATGTATGCCAAGATTATACCATAGCAGGCTAAGGTGCTGTAAAATGACTGCAAGCTTTAAAGAATATCTCACCGTGTAGAATATCCTGGCATAATTTTAGCTATGGCAGTACTTAAGTTTCATTGGAATAAACAGATTAGTGAAGAATGAACTGCGTGTTTCAGGATGAAGACCCTTTGCAGATATATGCAGGGAATATATTTAGTCTGCAATACTGCTCCAGATGGAGTTCTAAAAATGCTTTTCTCTATGTATCACTGATTTTCAAAGCTCAGATACAGCTAGAGCTTCAGAGATAAAATCCATTTGCTAATTTGTGACATCACATGACATAACTCAAGCCAGCAAGTGTTTGCCAGCTTCCCTGCTCCACTTATTTATGATTGTTTTAATATGGGAAACTGGCCTGCCCCAAAGCAAAATGGCTATACTTGGCATTGTTTA